ACCTAACAACTGTCGACAGAGCCTCCCTAGGCGAAGCCGAGCCCTCCGTGAAGTGCGCAACCAGCCTCGACGAATGCCACCCGACGCCGCAAGCATGAGCCTGAATCCAAATCCTGCCTAGTCCCTGCGGTTTAGGTTCAGGGTTTAAGGTTTTAGGGTTTAGGGTCTAGGGTTTAAAGTTCATCTAGACAGTCCCTAAACCTGAGACACCGTGGCCGTCGGATTTCGGATTCAGGGGTAGACGCATTGGGGTTTCAGGAAGGTCGGGCTACGACCCTCCTTGCTGTCGTTGTTATTGAAATTTTCATTGGGTCACCTGAAGGATACATCCTAATTATGTGACTTGCCGAGCGCTATTCCACAATAGTTCTGTAGCACCGCAGCATACGGCTCTCGTGGAACCTCACACAGCACATCTTTGTTCACGCCATGCTCCTCCCCCCCCCCCGGGTGCGTACATTTGCTGGTGGCCCAATCAAAGAGACTGTGCAAGCGCAGCTGTTCGGAGTTGGAAGCTTGAGGTTTGTGTTTAGGGTTCTTCCCCGCTGAGCTCACAGCGCTCTGACCTGAGGCCCCTGTGGCAAGGAGGCCCATGTGGTGGTGGCTGGGGGGGGGGAAGAGGGGACGACGTTCAGATGTGAGGCTGCTGAGGTCAAGGTGGGGGTCTGCAGGCTTGGGATTCCGGATTGTTCTGCGAGAACACTCTCAGGAGGTTTGTTTGGCTACGTGCACCCAAATTACTGTCAACCCTGGTCTCCAGACCTCCACAGCTAAACCCAGATCAACAAAGCATCTGGGGCCCAAAGCCCTGCACCGTACAACTTCTCAACGCCCTACAAGGCCCCAAATCTCTCCTACCCAGAACCCATAGAAGTCCCAAAAACCCCCCTCACGCGAGTGCTTCCGAGACCGTACATCTGAGCCCTGAAAAGGCCAAGAGCTGCACAGGCTCATGGGTCCGCTGCATCTTCAAGGAGCTGAGGGGGTTTAGGGTGAGGGGGGGGAGGGGGCGGGGCAGTTTCGGAGGTTCGGAGGTCTAGGAAGCTTGAGAGTGTCGGGTTGCTCCCCTGAACTTGGTGGCGCTCGCAAGAGTTTGGATTGCTCTTTGGGCCTAGGACACGTTGACAGCTTCCAAGGGCTTGGACCTATGAGCCCTTTCGGATCTCGCCTCACTCCTGCATCCTCTCTTCCATTGAGTTCTGAAACGCCTGCACCGTTTCTAGCTTTCAGAATCTTCGGTATGCCCTGTAAGTACATTCAGCGGTTGAGTTGAATTGAGTTGAAGATTTCCAGGATGAAGATTGCCCAGTTGTCTGCAGCGCCAACCAGAAGAAGTGCCTCCTGAACCAAATCACCAGTGTTTTGCGGTTTCGCCATCATCAGGGTTCTTAGGGGTTTGAGGTTAAAGGAAGTTCGGCAACTTAAATTCGTGGATCTGCGACAGAAGGATGCGAAGCCTAAAGCGCTGAAGCTTAGCCTACTTTCTACTTTCGCGCCGAAGCATGAGACCCACCTGATTCCGCAGCCTACAGAAGCCGTTTGGGCTTACTTACGTGTGTCAAGATCAAGACCGCAGAGCCAAGGCTACCTCACGGACTACACAGCCAGTGAGGAGTTCGTCAGCACCATGGCCATTGGGGGGGAGTTGCGGGGATTCAGGGTTTGGAATGAACCCAGCCAATTCCAATGCCTCTAAGAGTTGGGGGGGCGTCTGCCATGCGGGTGCCAGCTTTCTTGACATCCAAAAGGCAGGGTAGCGCGACCATGGGGCCAGGAGCCATGGGTCCATAGGGGCCATGGGGGTCGAGGGGCATGGGGCCAGGGTGGTGCGTTATGGCTCAAGAGTTATGGGAGTCCATGGCGGCGGGCATGAGGCCATGAGAGCCATGGGCGAAGAGCGGCCAGGAGCCATGGGTCTATGGGGGCCATGGGGGGTCGAGGGGCATGGGGCCAGGCGATGGGTCTTCACTGGCGCCGCCCCCGCTCCGGCTGGGGTCGGCGGATAAGCGACTTGGGGCTTGGGAATTGGAAGTTCAAGCCATGAAAGCTTAAGACTAAGCCACAGGTTTAGGGTTTCAGTTTCAGCTCAAGGGCATGCCTGGTATTTGTAGCCACTGTGGCCCAGGTGATCGCGAGGTGTGCGTGGACGTGAATGCGAAGTGTCCGCGACGCAGCTGCAGTGCGCTTGTCTCGATGGCCCTTGTTTGTTTAGGGTTTGGGGTTTAGGCCTGCTCGCGGCGCCTGAGGGGGGTCTACGGTAAGCCCCTACACTGTTACACAACTCAGGTGCGGCAAGTCTACTCAGCGATGCCCTGGCTCTGATGCTTGCCTTTTGCCGTATCTGGTTGGCATTTGTGTGTGCGTGTGTGCGTGCGTGTGTGTGTGTGTGTGTGTGTGTGTGTGTGTGTGTGTGTGTGTGTGTGTGTGTGTGTGTGTGTGTGTGTGTGTGTGTGTGTGTGTGTGTTTGTGGTGTGTGTGTGTGTGTGTGTGTGTGTGTGTGTGTGTGTGTGTGTGTGTGTGTGTGTGTGTGTGTGTGTGTGTTGTGTGTGTGTGTGTGTGGTGTGTGTGTGTGTGTGTGTGTGTGTGTGTGTGTGTGAGTGTGTGTGTGTGTGTGTGTGTGTGTGTGTGTGTGTTGTGTGTGTTGTGTGTGGTGTGTGTGTTGTGTGTTGTGTGTGTGTGTGTGTGTGTGTGTGTGTGTGTGTGTGTGTGTGTGTGTGTGTGGTGTGTGTGTGTGTTTGTGTGTGTGTGTTGTGTGTGTGTGTGTGTGTGTGTGTGTGTGTGTGTGTGTGTGTGTGTGTGTGTGTGTGTGTGTGTGTGTGTGTGTGTGTGTGTGTGTGTGTGTGTGTGTGTGTGTGTGTGTGTGTGTGTGTGTGTGTGTGTGTGTGTGTGTGTGTGTGTGTGTGTGTGTGTGTGTGTGTGTGTGTGTGTGTGTGTGTGTGTGTGTGTGTGTGTGTGTTTGTTTGTTTGTTTGTTTGTTTGTTATTTTTGTGGGCGGAGGTTGAGGGGGCTCCCCAGGGTTGGAGCTTCAGGCTTGGTGGCCCGAATTCCATTTTAGTGTGGCTCAATTCATGGGCCCAAGCTGCAAGCCTACTGAGAAAGCCTTGAATGTCCGCATACAGGCCCGGCGGTGATGAATGCAAAGCTCCGAACTACCTGCACATTTGGGGGGTATGTGCGAGGGACTGTCGCGAAGCCCGAGCTTTGACGGTTCTCAACAGCTTGGCTCGCATGTGCTGAGGTCGAGGGCCTCCATTGTGTGCCCTTGCGGCGAAGCAGAAAAGCAGTGCGATGTCCTCGACTACACTTCCAAAGGCAACCAAACGTTGGGGGCTGAATTCGGGTGTACAGTAACATCGGTGCTCTTTAGGGTTTAAGGGTAAGTTCGGGCCGGGCTTAGGAAATAGCCTCTTTCGGGTCTTGCAAGGGCATGCATGGTTGGTGGGGTTCGTCGTTTAGCCCGTCCGACGTTTGCTATGCCAGGCAAGCCTGCCAACACCACCACACAGTGCGTGAACCAGGGAGTGAGATGTCCCTGCGGCAAAAACACGTCCCCCGGCTGCAGCCCGCAATTTCGAACAGTTTGGGACTTGAGAAGTTTGGGTTTAACCTGCAGAATATGTTGAGAAGATTCCGGTTGACCCTCCTGCAACAAACTCATATGCATCAAATAAAGACGTCAATCACCACTCAGGAAAAGAGGCCCGAACACTGGAGCCCAAAATCAGCCACACAGCCATTAACCGCCTTAACCCAAGCAAACATTCCATTCCAAGTCCCAAGCCTCCAACTCAATCCCAAAACCCCAAAGCATCCCAGAACCCCACAAATTGCACCCTGCACTCCTTAAGTCCGTAACTTACCGAAACAGCAAGTATTGAGGCCCGTAAGAAGCTGTCCAAGGCTCACCTGCGCAGATCCGAATGCCCCTCAGCTTTCTTCCGGCGCTTGTCGGGTTTCCGGATGAAAAGCAGGGTGTTTCAGCTACTGAGTTTTCGGTTTGGGTTCCTTTGTGTCATGGTGTCGTGGCGTCTTGTTTTGCACGGCCTGGCACTGGTCCTCCAGACCATTGGCTGGTACATCACGCGTGGGGTTGTTAATTTGGGCACTGAGGTGGCTCTAGGAAAAGGCCTTGGGGCACTGGGGTATAGGGGGGGACGAAGCCATATCCTACGCCTTCTGCTCTAAACTCTCTAAAAACACTCCCAAGCTTGATATGGCTAGTCACAAGCGCTAAGGATGCCAATCAGGACTACTGCACCCCCAAGTTCAGCGGCGCCTTGCTTTAGGGCTCTCAGCTTGCGAGTTTAACGCAGATCCAAAGCAGTGCAACGGTTGCGGCTCCAAGTCCCGGAGTGCAGAGATCACAGAGCACCCCACCCCCCCCCCCCCCCCCCCCCCCCCCTCCCACCCGCACCCGCGCCTGAAGGATCCACAAAGTCACCTTAAGGTTTTAAGGGTGTTGGGTTTTGGGATGGGGGTTTCAGGTATCAGGGGCTTGGGAGTCGAAGGTTTGGGGCCTGGGGCCCTGAAGAAAGCAGAAGTCCCAATAAGCCCTGCTCACCCTGGATGCCCTCCTTTGCTGACAGGTGTCTTGCTCAACAGCTGCCCCAAGCCCTGCACTCCGATGCAGGAGGAGCAGGGAAACAGGACGTGCATCCAGAGCCCAAGCTGCGAGATGCCCTTTCTTGGGTGAGTCTGGGGCTTTGGGCGACGGGCATTCCCCAAATCCAAGCGTCCAAGGACACACCTGTCAAGCACCGGGGACTTCATCTCGGAGTCCATCAGCCCCTTGTGTAATAAATTCTCATAAGTTCCATCAAGAAGACGAGAACGAACAGCAAGAAGTCAAGGCACCAGCCCGAAAGCCGTCTTCATCCCTAAACCTCTGAATCCAACAGCCCTGCACCGCCTGCACCGGGTCGAAAGCCATCGAAAGCCCCCCCGGACACGGAAGTCCCCGAGGCTGTGTGAAGCCTGGCAAGTGCCTGCCGGGGCAGAACATGCAGCGATGCCGGGCCACCTACTGTATCTGCTCCCGGCGGGCTGAACGTGAGATTGAAACGAACTAAGGAGGCCGAAGCTAGCGCAGCTCATTTATCGCCTGTTCTTGGGTCTGGAAGGTTGGTGCATGAGGCTGAGGAGCTTCGGGCTGCACATGGTCTCCCTAAAGTATGCTCATGAGACGTGGGTCCAGGTCGGCTCCTGCTAGCTGCAGTCTCGGGACTGGGCAACAAATCCCCAAAGCACCCTCAAGCCATCAACCCCCTGTAACCCTCTCAAATGTCTCTGTGTTGCAGAGCCTGTCTGAGGCCCATCTGGAACGCACATCCCCACATGGAAGCAGTGCAAGGACACCGGGCTCAAGGGGTTCGGGGGAGGGCGCCTTCAAGTTCATTGCTTAGGCTTCAGATTTGAGCAGCGTGGGCAGCTTAGTGCCGTGGGAAGCTGACAGGATCTCTACGGCGCAGGCGCCAGCAACACCACGGCCGTCGCCAGCACCGAGAAGGAGACCTCCACAGTGCCCCTCGGGCTCTAAAACCCTAAACCCTAAACGCTAAACACTAAACCCTAAACCCTAAACCCTAAACCCTAAACCCTAAACCCTAAACAGACCAGCTCCGGATTGACTCGTTTTCTGGATGCAAGCATGAGCTGCGTTTGCACTTGTGGCTCCTGCGTCTGGCAGCTTCGGGCATGCCTGGCCTGCGGAAGGTATAGGGTTCAGGGTTTAGGGTTTAGGGTTTAGGGTTTAGGGTTTAGGGTTTAGGGGCCTCGAGAGATCTGAAACTCCTAGAGAGGAAGCCATCGGGAAATGAGCTGGCTGTAAAGCACATCTCCGACCTCACCCGAGGTTCCTGATGCTGGACTCGCAGCTCGCCGCAAGTCAGGACAAGAAATCCAGACCCAGCTAGAGATCTCCCAGGTCCTAGACCGTGTCAAAGAAACCTTCACGATTTACCGAGAATCCTGAAGCTCCGAAGCCGTACACTCGGACCGTCAAGACCATCAAGCCCCCCGAGAACCGCTGCAACGAAGATGCGGAAGCAAACCTCCAAACTCCCCGAGTTTGGGGGAACCCTCGAACTGCGCAGAGCCTCATGGACTGGATAATCCATGGCGGACTTCAGGAGTCCCCCAAGTCCCAAATCCTGAGACACGTGGTTCCCGAAGCTCACGCAAAGTCGCTTAGGGCTTTCGGGATGTTCGAAGGTCTTCATGGCTTTTATTTCTTTAAACGTTTAAACGTGGGTCTGGAGTGTGGCAGTGGAGTGGTGCAGCACCTCGAACCACACCAGTTTCACAAGGACCGGCACAGATGCGACCGGCTCGGTGGAAACTTCGGCAAGAACAGGGGCAAGAAGGTTCTAGCAATGGTCTTGCCGTAAGGGTTGTAGAAGTAGGATCCAGAGAGCATGTTGGAGTTTGAGGGTTTAGGGCATGTTTGGGGTTCAGGGCTTAGGGTCCTGTGGGAAGAGGTTTGAGAAGCTCAGGATGTGCAGAGGGTCTTGGGGTTGGGGGTCTTCGAGGCATGGCCGTATCCAGCTGCAAGGTAGATTTGAGGTGCCTGGCATGTTCAGCTCGATAGAACGTAGGCTTTTCGAGCATCTCCCTTCCCCAGACCCCGACACTCTTCACTGTTATGCGCCTCGCGGTTTTTTTTTTGAAGAAAGGTGGGAGGGATCTTACGCGGTTGACAGTTGACGGCAAGTAGGGGTGCCTCATTGAGACCTTGAGACGAGGGCCCCCTGGTAAGTTTCTGGCGCAGCACCACCCTAAAACCCCAGGCCTTTTGACACCGGACGACTGAAGAGTCGACACCCTTCGCATTCAATGAGTAGGATGGCTTGATTCTCAAGGGCCAGCGGCGCCTTTCTTTCCATACCAACCCTCGATCCTCAAACCCCTTGATCGCCCTAATCCTAACCCTCACCCTTCCGCAGCCCTCACAACACCTCGCAACTTTAGGAAGATGCCCGGGTCAAGATCAACGGTGAACTCCAGGTGCCAGAGGGGAGCCCTGGCTTGAAAAGCTCTCAATGCTACCACGCAGCCTACAAAACCCTCGAGGCCTTCAGTCGCAAACCCCTGCAGCCCAAGTGGCCTACACGGGGAATCTCACCCCGCCTCATACTGCTTCGAAGCCCTGCCAAGGCCCTACTAATTTACAAAAACCTGCAAGCCCGCCAAGTCCCCTACCACCCTCACACCAACTCCAAGGATTCAGACGAGTCTGACCCTGAAGAAGGGCAGTGGCCGGCGCTTGTCCAAGCGCCGGGGCCTGCAAAGTGCTGGGGCCGTGGTCTCGTCCCCTGGCAACTTTTCTCGGCGGTGCAGTTGTTTTGGGGGCTTTTAAAGTACTTGAAGTTTGGGTAGAGCTTTCAGGGCTGCTGCTGGGTAGTTTCTTTAGTCAGGCTGTATAGGGCCGCAGGCTTTCCTCAAAACCCTCCAACACCCACCACTGCTTGTTTTTTAAACACCCGGCTTCGGGATGGACTTGGGCTCCTTGGGATTTCTGGGGCGTTTGGTTGCTTATAAGGTTTAGGACGGGGCTGTAGAGCTTCTGGTGAAGGCTGGGGTCCAGGTTCGTTTATTGCACCCAGTGTGGGCAGGGCACCCTGCAAGCTGCCACCTTAAACCTCCCTCTCTTTTGAGTCGAGTGCCCTGTTGAGGTTCGAGGTCACAAACAAAGGACCGGACCCGCGGGGGTTTTGACTCAGGGCAGTGTTTGGGCTTCGGCATTTTGGCATATGTTGGCATGCTGTTCGGGATTGTGTGGGTGCGAAGGGCGTCTTGTAGGGGCGTTCTTTATGGGGCCTTCTGCAGCATCAGCACAGCCCCGGACATGATGCCCTATGCAGTTTCAACGTCCCCTGCCTCAATCCTACCTTTATAAAGTCAGTTTTTTGCAGGAGTCACGCGCGTAGCTCCGTCGAGCGTGGCCGAGATGCTGAAGAAAGAGGCTGCCCACGGCCCAACGCCCTACACCCCAATGTGGTTGCATGGCCGGAAATCCTCAGCACCGTTTTGCTAGGGTCTTGGGCTTGCTAGGGGGATTGCGCCAAGGAGTATGCTTGCGGTTTGCGGTTCACTGAGAGTGTCATCACAATTTTCAAGAAGTCATACACCTCTACCAAATCCATGACCATCTCGTGGATTATGTGCAGCAGCATTTGCAACAAGAGCCCGTTCATCAAATGCCATTTACTTTATTTGATCACAAAGCCTCCAAACACACGCACTGCCTATAATATCTTGTATATTTCATCAGTCCTGGCATCAGTTCAATTGTATGAACCAGCATCAAATGTTACTGCAATGTTCATTTTTTCATGGGGCTGCTTCACAGTTCAGACGGCTTGTGACAGGTGGCAGAAGTGGATGTGCGCGTTTCTGCGAACCAGCCCATGCACAGCCTAGTTTCAGCATGAGCAGCAAGCAGACGCCCTCAACCAGTACACTTTTACACTCCAAAACCAAAACCCTGAACGGCCACCCCCCAACCCAACTAGCAGCATCTGCTGCAGGTCAAGAGCAACAGTGCGGGCCTGACAAGTGCCCTTAGCTCGGTGGGTACAGTCGACGCGCAGGCACCGGGCTGTCGCAAGCAGGGTTGAGGGTTGGGAGTTGATGTTTATGTTTTTCAACAGCTCAATTTCGGGTTGGAGCCAAGATCCGAGATGCCTCAGGATAATTTCCCCAGCAATCTTGGATATCAGGTCCAACTGTCCAACGGTGCCTCCAAAGAAGGGTTGCTCTTATGTAGTTATGGAGAGGGGGGCGGGCGATTTGTTTCGACCGGCTCAAGTGGTCGGGTCAACAACCTGGAGGTACCTGCTCTGAGAAACCTTTCGAGTTACCTGCCGTGTATGAGGCAGTCATCCCCCACCGCAATCTCCTTGATATCCGCGGAAAGAATGCAAACCTCCAGCTTCGCATATGTGTACACATGACAATATATACATATATATATACATATTTATTTATTTTTATATTTATATATATATATATATATTCACACACATCGCATGTTCATGGAAATTTGCTTGGGAATTTGATTTGCAGATTTTGATCACTTCGAGATCAATCGCCGGAAACAGCAAACTTAAGGACCAGGGCCTGCGATGTCTCATTTGATGCAAGCCTTCGGCCCCAAAAACATCAGGACCATGCTTGCGATTGATTCTGCTAGCTGGCTCACCCCAAAGTTTTCTGGGAGCTATTGCTTTAGTTGTTAAAAAAGCCCCGCATTTCTTTTCGATGAGAAACGAAGGCTGTATGTCGAATGAGCAAGTTTTTGTACTGTGACTTGCACTCTGGACACCCTCGAAATTGTGCGGCGCGGCTCATGTAAGCTTAATTACACGCCCTTGAAATCTTCAACGCCCTTAGAGCGGAAATGCAGGAGGAGGTTGCAAGGCTCACAAGCTTTCCAAGCTTGGATCAGGGACTTACGAAGGCTTTCAACATGATGTGTTGTTTGTTAATGGCCAACTAGAAATCCAGCTTGGCTCGCGGGGGCCGGGCATATGAGGTTTCGAAGTTTTGTCGTTGCACCGACATGCAGGCTCCACTTCGGTAGTTCGGTAGACAGTAAAAGCCCTTGACATTTACAGGGGGCCTTCCAAGCACTGTCTCCCCAAATGAACAAAAGCTTAAATCCTCAACCCCAGCGCCCTCACAATCCCGAACTCTAACCCCAAGCCCGTGAAGGTTACATGAAATCTTTCAATTCAGAAGCCTGAGCCTTCAAACAAGAGAGGCCGGGGTCAGTGTGTCGAACACGAAGAAGACCATCACGACCCGTGCTGCCACAGTGGAGGCCAAGAAGCAGGTGCGTCACGAGGGCTGGGGAAGTCACGCGGCTAAACTCTTCAAGGTTTTGGGTGAGTGGTGTCGGAGGGGTTGTTTCGGCTACTTGGGGTAAGTTCAGGGTGTGTTTTGGCTGCAGATGGAGGCTCTCATTGAGGTGTATGGACGAGCAGAACGAGCCCGCTCTGATGTTGCGACATGTCTTGTAGGAATTCGGGTTCCTCGTCGGAAACCTCTAAAAGCAGCTTGTCTCTTCTTATTGAGGCTTAGGGGGTAAGGTCTAGGATTAGGGCTTCAGGTTTTAGTCTTAGTCTTCTTGAATCAAAGCGGCCCGGCTGAGGGTTCCAGGCAAGCAAATAGCTAGCACACTTCTCGCATCCTGACAGGCGAAGCTTGCCCCTCAGCTGCCAGCAGAGCTTCAGGTTTCGAGTCCGGGTGTCCAGCGGTTGCGGGCTCAGGGGGGCTCAGAGGAGGGCTGTCGCAGCCTTGGGTTCTCAGTCTCAGGGCTTCTAGAGCTCCATAGCTCCCTACACGTCGAATGAAGATCCGGGTCCCTCCCCGTGCGCGCCTGTCTGCAGAATCTTGCGCGAAAAGCATCGGATGAATTTAAAAAAAGAAAAGAATTATGGCACAGTTGCTCGGGAGCCCTGCAGAAGTGCTATGTATCATCATCATGTCAAAGTGATGGCATGGTGGCTCTGGAAACTAGCCAAGGGCATCACCACGACCACAGCCGCCATCTCAGCTGTGCTGCGCAGTTGACTTTGGAGACAGCTTGGTAGCTCCGTGGCAGGGCACTTCCTCATGATGCAAGGTGTCTAACATGCTCTTGCAATGTGCCTGAGACTACAACGACAACCACAACCACAACTACAACGACGACAACGACCACCACCACCACTACTACCACAACTACCACCGCAAGCGCAGCATCTGCCGAGGCCAAAGCACTGCCCGTCCTGCACAGGGCAGATTGAGTTTCAGTGTTTTGTTCAGGTCCGCTCCTGTTCAAGGAATCCGGCCATAAGCACGCTCTTTGAACCCCAAGCCCTCCAAGCGCTGCAGCAGCCCTTGAAAGCCCGAAGCTCTTGCACCCACCTTGCTTCGGGGTGCATGGTTCAGGACTTTGTCACGGCTTTAGTTTTTGGAAGTTGGGCGACGACGTAGTTTAAGCCTTCGAGCATCATGCGGATGCAAGGGGGAGAGAGAGCGCAGGACAACAGCACAGAGAACTTTACGGTGAGCTTCTTCACATCGGTCTCGAGCTCGAGCACGTCCTCTGGCTTCTTACTGCCGGAGACCTCGGGAGCCTCGGAACCGACGTTCTCCAGGCCCCGGATGAATTTCTCGGAGTGTGTCTAGGGCAGAGCTGAAAGCTGGGGTTTCTGGTTCTGAGCACTTGGAACTCCGATCAGTCGAACCCAGAGAGGCTGTGGCTTGGAGAGGTTTAGGGACGATGTTGCCAGGATGCTCATCCCACTCACGCTGCTGTGTTTCGGCATCTTCCGGTGAGGCCGCGGTCGTGTGGAGTGCGTATTGGGACCCTCGGAAGGTCTTGTAGAAGGTTGAAGAAGCACGAAGAGTACTTCGAGATCCTGGGTGCGCGTCTTTGGAGATCATTGGCTCTGCAGGCTCATTCAAGCTAAGCCAGCCAAGGTTTCTAGGCTTGTTTCGTCTTAGGCCCTGTCAGACCACCATCTTGGAAAGAACATCCGTCAAGGAAAGCGTCGAGAGGATACACAAATCCGACGAAAGGCTCTTCAAGGGGAGAACCAAGATTGAAGTCACAACGGGCACTGCAAAACCCTCGGAAAGGGCTCGCCCACCAGGCATATTGCGGGCGCCATCGGCCTGCTCAAGATGAATGCCGACAGACTACGCCCGCAGTCTGTCAGTGAACGGAAGAGCCTCTCTTGTCCAAACCACTGAAATCGTGCGCAGCCTATTCCACGCTTACGCTACTCTAAGCTTCCGCATGCCAGCGTCCCCCGCCCATGCAATTAGAATTCAAGTTTGCTCCCACAGCAGATACTTCAGGGAACTGCTGTGCATTGTTCGGCTTTTGAGATTTTTAGTGGGAGCGAAGGGCGCGAGCTTGGTGCATCTCGACTCTAGACAGCCCTCCGCTCCTTAGTGAAATTGGTGCGCAAGAGGTGCGCATCTTCATGGGTGCAAGTATTCCCGGGGGCCCATCTGGTTCCGCATGCCCGGATGATACACTCCGGATGCACCGCTGAAAGATTCAAGCTCGCTTGCTTGAAGCAAGGAAAGCCATTGTCTCAAGACTCCGGCCGCGTTTTGGTCTGGCATTTTGAATGCAACAGATGGACCGGGCACAGGGCAACTGCCCTGGAAGAGCCTTGTATGTATGTGTGTATATGCATATGTATATATATATATATACATGTTTGTTGCAGCCAGTCTGCATGTGCGTTGATTCAGACATTCAGACATTCAGCTTCAAACTGCCAGCATCCATGTATTTCAAGTGTCTTTGGCGCTTCGGCCCAGTTTTCGTCTGTTAGTTTGAATGCGGATGGACCGCGGACAGGGCAACTGCTTTGGCAAAGCCCTGTTTGTGACGCCGTTCTGCGTGCCCCGAAGGCACACTCCGAAGACCCCCTGAAAGCTTCGTGGCTCGCTTGCTCGAAGTAAGGAAGGCCATCGCCTCAGGACTCCGGTGCTTCGGCCCAGTTTTGGTCTGGCAGTTTGATTCCACAATTCAGACAAGCAGCTTCAAACTGCCAGCGTCCATGTTTCTTTTCGTTTGTTTCCACAGCAGGTATGTCAGGGGGCGAACACGCCCACGGACTGCTGTGCTTTGTGCGGCGGGGCCACTTTGGAGCGAAGGGGGTAATTAAGCTTGGTTGGACGCAGGGTTGTCAGGGTCTAGGGCGAATCTAGATGGCCCTATGCTCCCACTCATGTTAGGGCTGCTGCCGAAGAGGCAGGCCTCTTCCTAGGGGCGGCTATTCCATGGGGCTACTTGACAGATTGCAAGGAAAGCCGTGAACGTTGAATCTAGACTTGGGGTGTGTGTTTGGCGCCACTCTCGTTTTGATCACTTATTCCGCAGAAAGTGTCATCGTAGAGAATCACATGCCCTGCGGGATGAAAGCTGTGCGGCTCCCCACTAGGGGGAGCATGTCTAGGATGATTCTGATAATGGATCCTTTGTATCAAATCCTTCGCATTTCTGTTGATCTCCACCGAGGCTTGTACATAATGAGACCTCCAACTATACGAAGCATCCCAGAAAAATGAAAAGATGAAGAATGGATCCTTCTTCTGCCCCATCCCCGGATGTCCGCGTAGCGAAGCTAGTGCTAGGGTTGGATTTGCTACCTTCATCTTTTTACGAGCTCATAGCGATCTTCATATGGGATGGGAATTGCCGGGACGATCGGCTGAGGATGGCTCCAACATCGTGGGTTAATTGGTTGTCGTGGATAAGGTTTGAACCTTTCTAAAGAGAGTGGAGTCCCTGGGGACCCCATATATATGGGGATTTTATAGGACTTTACGATGAAAAGATATATGTATTTCTTTTGGCTTCTATTTGGAATATATATTTCTCAAATTCCTTGTATTGTATCATGGCTTAGTATTAGAGAGATTTCTATTCTTCTGAGCGAATATTTTCAGGTCGATCCCTAAGAAAGGTTGATATTGAATGATATTGGCATCGGAAATTTTCAATATAATAGTAAGAATAAAGATGTAAATAAATACGTGGATTTTATTCTTAAGTTGTCAATTCGATTTTTATATGATTCTTATTGGAAATTAATTATGAAGAATAATAGCCCCCATATTAATACGCCAAAAGACCATATAATTTACCCAATTAAATTAAAAGACGTGAATTTTATGAATAATATATTAATTTAATATTTTTTGGTTAAAAATTTTTAAACCATATGGTTTTTTGGAACC